TGCTAAGAATTAGGGGATCTGAACCACATAAATCAATGTTATCTCCCTGACGTTCTTTCTTTTGTAAGAGACCTTTCCTGGCATGTGTCTGAAGTAGCCAATTCTCTGTATTTGAAGGCATGGATGGTGCAGCCCCTAAGCTGCCTCAGCTTAGTCATGCCCTTATGATTCCCTACAGCCTCGTGACACATCCCGTGTAAATCAGTAGGCAACTGGTGTGGGTGCCTTAGCTTCTCCTGTCATTGCCACTAAGGTACTGCCACTGTATCGCAGAGATGCAGGAAAATCTGGTTCCTTTCAGAGACATGCTTCTAGAACAGCAAGTGTGGGAAGAAGTCAGTTCAGCACTGCAAAAACAAGAGAGGAGTTGTCTTAAAGCCTGACCTTGAACATTTTTGTATCGGATTCTTAATATGCAAATATATATCAGGCACAGGCTGGAGCATTTTGTGAGTGTCGATACGCACATCCATACCGTGCACTGACATACACTACCAGTAGCATGTACTTGCATGTGCCCTTTCCTGCAGCCCCGCTGATCTCAGCTCCCAGCTGGAGGCAGCCCTTCTGCTTCTGAGAATGGTCGTGAACTTCTTGCAAACCCTCCAGGTCTAGTTCTGTCATACTACGTTCCCCAGATGGCCTCGCTTTCTCATTATTTTTTTATGTACTCCCCAAAGAGAACTTCATTTTTTATCCCTGTCAGAGTACCAGCCTTCTTCTATTACATGATGACATCATTTGCATGTGGTTTTATTGGTAAATGACTGTGGCTGGTATTTCAGTGGACTCCAAGAAAGCTGTTCCACGGGGAGCTGGAACAGTTGCCACATGTACAAACCAGAAGCACAGAGGGGACGGCATTCTCCCTAGCAAGTCTCTCCCACGTCCTCCTCTGTGAGAAGCCCTTGGAGAGAAACATTAGTTTTCCAGTGTCTTGGCAGCAATCTCCGAGAAGTGTCCATAGCAAACATCTTTTCTGCTCTTGGATAGTCCTCAGACTTCGAGTGCTTTGTGGCTGAGAGCGAGCTGGTGGAGGAGCACATGCATTGCTACTCCCACAAGTGGCCAAAACATGCAGCTATACCTAAAAGATACTCCGAGGTGCAAGGGGAGAAAGGCCAGCTCTTAGGGTTAGGCATGTGGGCACCCACTCTGCACTGGAGCTGGCAGATCAGATGGGAGAACTCCAGTTATCTTGGAAAAGTCAGAGCAAGCACACCACTTCGGTCTTTTAGCATAAAAGTGTTTAAATATTTAAAAACACCTTCCCGTTTTCAGTTCATTATATGGAAATGTTTGCCACAGTTACAGATCCCTCTCCTGTCACAGAAGGAGCAGCAGGGGACTGGGAACTCGAAGGAAGGGAGTAATTTTGTTTCAGAGAACCAGTGATGTCTCTGGCATTGGCAGCACAGCGCGGCAGCTTCTGCCCTCTCACCCCGCCGGCTGGGTGCAGCTAAGCGTCCTGCGGCGGCCGGTGGGAAGGTGCCAGAGCAAGAGCAAAGCCTGCACAGCAGCACAGTGCTGAGGCACGAGAGGGCCAAAGGGACTTCAGAAGCGGGCGTGTTCCCAAGGTCCCTTAAAAGTCACGCACTGACCCGGAGCAGTCTCCTAAGCACTCTGCGCAGACACGAAGCTGGGGATAGCAGCAACCTGCCCAGGGACCCCGCTCGTGGCGTGACGGAGCGCGGCCCCGTGTGCTGCCAGCAGGTCCCTTGGCAGAGTTCTGAGACGGTGCTCTCGTGTTTTAATGCCACCATCCCACTTCATGGGCATGCAAACCTGTGTTCGGGCAGCAGGACGTCTTAGCAGGCTCAACCTCTGAGAAAAGCCAGGAGCCACTGGTGTGCCACTACCCCCAACACAGGGCAAGCCGAGGCTGGAGGACTCCCTTGAAGAACAACTTGCTGGGGAGGCATCCCCTCCACCAGCAGAGACTGTGGTGAAACTGTATGGGCTGGTCTGAATTGGTTTGTCTGTACGCAGGGTCTGGAATCAGCAGGATGCAGCTACTCAGATGATACTATCGTGTGTGGTATAATCTAGATATAAACAAAGAGAATAAGGGTTTTGGGGAGAGCACACATTGCAGCTGCTAGCTGAGTAAACAAAAGACAAATGTTGTCCATATGGGGAAGGAGCAGCAGCAGGGGACTGCACTCAGCCAGGATTTTGAAAAACCAAATAAAGGAAAATACTGAATGCTTGAGAACTTCGGGAAGCAGACACTTAAAGCCCCACCACTGTGCCCTGGCACAGCCTTTTGTAATTTCTTTGCCTCGTAGACTAAGCCAGTGCAGGCATAAGTCTGAGCAGCAGTTTCCATAGCATCCATCTTTCACATTGCAAGAGGCTTGAATGAAAATATGTTTTCATAGGCAGAGCCTATTGAGGATTTTCTTTAAAGCCATTTATCTGTAGGAGGGTCGTTAGGCAACATTTAGTTTTCCTATCTAAATTTCTGCTCTCCTTTACTCTAGTGGAGTTGATGTGTAAATGCATTGTTAGTTCTAGCTACCGGGAAAGGGCACTTGGGGAAGATGGCTTCTCAAGGGAAAGAGTAGCAAGGGTGGGCCAGAGGTTAGGGTCAGTAGTCACTTCTGGGGAAGAGGATGCAATTCAGAAGCACGGGAACACGGGTGTTGTGCTGAGACTGATGCTCAAACAGGAGACCGCAGTTCAGCAAGGTGCAAAAATCTGCCTTGGGCAGTTTTGGACAGCAACAATTACCCCACAGAAGAATTAAAATGTGGTAGCTACTCGTAAATTAAAATTGTGCAGTTAAGCTTCCTGCGGGTTGAGAGCTGACACAAATGTCCACTGAAAAGGACACCTTTCTTTTGTCAGCAGTAGGGCAGCACTATTTACAGTGAAAATCTCTGCAAGTGTAAATGCTGTGAACTGTTCCGCAGCCAGACGTATTTCCATCTGAGGAGGAATCATTTCCCTTCCGCAGTGCCAAACTGCAAAGCTTCACCCTTCCTTTTGTCAGATCTTGAAATGTTGTTGGATTTGCTTTTATTTCCAGTTTACCTAGTCTTTCATTTGTGTGAGCATGTCAAACAGAGTAAAGCAAAAGCGGCTTGTCTGCATAGCTATGAAGAAAAATCTGAAAAAATATGAAAGCTAATGCTCACAAACTAGAAAGCAAATAAATATATTTAGAATATATTAAGTAAATCCTGTAGTTTTACCTGAATTATGATTCTTGAGCACCCCAAAATGGAAATCTCATTACCCAGCTGTTTTGTTCTTAGGGCATCATTTGGCCATGGGATAAACTTTAATCGCTATGGAAACAATAAAACTGACACAACATACAGAAGCCACTTGGGGAAACTTGACCGGTACTGTCCTCCCTACGGCCTGTGTTGAAGAGCCGGGTTTATGCCAGTGGTTTAGCCGTGGCTGTGAGGGTAAGCAGGGCTGGGTCCTCATTCCAGGGATGAGGTCTTTCTGCAAGACGTAGTCCTGGATTCTCTTAATTTTGCTGTGCTCCAGCTCTGAACAGCCAAGTTACAACCAGCTTTTATTATTTGCTCCTCATTCCAGGTCTCTCAGCTTCACCATTCATGTATATTTATGAAACAACTTGCAGCTGGTTTATCTTCCTCACTCACTGGCACCTGTGTTGTCCTCTGCCCTGTTCATTTTCCTCTTTTCGCTTGGGAATTCAATCCTGCATGTCTCCGTAGTACCTGAGAGGCTGCTACGTAAAGATTTGTTCCTACTAGAGAAATCAGTATTTGAACTCACAGCAGCTCTGCATGTTTCCTGTTCTGGGTTAAATGCCTAAAGGTTTAGTTAGCTTGCTGCCCCCTCTTCCCACCCCCACCCCACGATTTCATTTTGCCGTTGGGCTGGTGTATTAACAGAAATGTGTTGGATGAAAAGGGAGCTGGGAGTTTCGCTGCTCTTTCACCCTGTAGTGAAGGTGTGTCCCACCCCTTCGCCGCCCAACCAGGTACCTCAGGAAAATTCATCTGCCACATGCTGTCATAAATTGGGTAGTTCCCGGCGCTGGGGGGCTTGGCACCAGCACCCCCCGAGGCACGAAGGCAATTTGTCTCCTCAAGGATTGGTGTTTCAGGTTCCTTATAGGCTCAGGGACTTCACTGGGTGTTCTACTCTTGGGGCTGAGTTCGGCTGCCTTTCAAGGCCTCTGAGGTCTGAGAATTGCGGGCGCTCTTCATTTTTTTGTTTTTAACGGTGGTGCAGGTGGGTCTGAGCACAGTAACGGCAGTCTTGTTTTTCGTTTTGTGTCAGTTTGGTGATTAATTTCCGGCGTGGTTGTTATTTCTGAATGTCATTAAGGATAAAAGAGATTCTCTCACAAGAGGGCAGCACTGGTTGTGGCTCACCGAGTCGAACCCTTTGAAGAACGGCGGGAGCCTGTCCCTTTGCGGAGGCGCTACCAATTGCTACTAGTTTAGTGTTTTCATTCGCGTGGCAAAACACGGGCAGTCCAAAGGTAACGGCAATCCGCAGAAGGATTTTACCCAAAACACCCTGCGTAAGGAAATTTCAGCTCTGGCACCCCACCCCCACAAAATAAAAAACTGAACCAAACCGGCGGGAGGGGCCGGGCGGCTCGGCCCCCTCTGTTCCGCCGCGGCTCCGCTGGCGGGCGGATGACGGGAATGACCCTTCCAGGCTCCCGTTCGCACCGCGGGAGGGGCCGGGCCTGGTCCGTTAAGCGCCGCCGACCCGGGGCCTTCGCTCCCCCGTCCCCAGCGCGTGACCCCGGGGCAGCGCGCGCCCACCGGCCCCGCCCCGCCGAGAGATGACATCACGGCGCCGGGAAGGGAGCCGGGCCGGCGGCGCGCCCCGATTGGCTGCCGGCGGGTGAGGCGGGGACGCTCGCGGGACCTGCGCGCCCTCGGATTGGTGACCGGCCGGCGCAGGCGCCGCGGGCCGGCGCGCGCGGGGCCGCAACGGCGCGCCGGGATTGGGCGCGCCGGCTCGCTGGGGGCGGGGCCCGCCCCGGAAGCGCGCGGGGCAGGACGGGCAGGCGGTGCCGGCCGCGCGTGCGCAGTGCGGGGCTGCGAGGGGAAGATGGTGCTGATCAAGGAATTGTGAGTGGGGGGCGGCGGCGGCCGCGGGGGGGTCTGGGGGGCGGCGGGCGGGGCCGGGCTGCCGCTCCCTTCCCCGCCGCGCCCGGGCAGGGCCCTCCCGCGCCTCCCGGCGCGCCGCCGCGGCCGCTTCTGTTTTGCGGCGGGGCCGCCGTGTCCGGGCCAGGCCGGGCCGCTGCCGCCGGCCGCCCCCGCCGCGGGTCTCTGCCCCCGCCCCGCGCGTCCGCAGCCGGGGTGACACCTCACACACACACACCCCGCGCACCCCCTGCCCGCGCGCGGCGCGGCCCTTACGCACAGAGTTCCCCCAGACCCGCTCCCCCTGGGCCCGGTGTTCCCCCGCGAGCGGACGGCGCTGCATCTCGGGTGCTTTTTGGTCACGACCCCGTCCTGCTAAGGGAGGAGCTCGAGCGGCCGTGGCGACAGCCCCGTGGCGCTGCCGGTGCCCTTCCTCACGCTGTGGCCCCCTCTTCTGCGGGCGCTGGGACCTCCTGTCGTTGGGTAGATCTCTCCCGTAAGGTCTGCCAGCAGACCGCCGGCTGCTCTGTTCCTCCCGCCCACCCCTTTGGCTTTAAGTTACCTCAAAGTCTGGTAATACGTAGCCTCTGCTGTAGTAGGAAAGGTGATGCGTAGGTTCAAAATAATAGATAGTAGCAAGTGTCTTTTGTGAAGTTCCAAACAGGCTTCCAAGGATAGTTCAAAGATTTACCTGAACTTCAGTGAGTAGGTGCAAGCGGACAGGACTGAGGTACCAGCACTCTGTCGGGCGGGGCGGCATGCAGAGCCGAGCGTCCTGCTCTTCCTGCCTTTTAGCCAGAGCTTGTACCAGTCCTCGTTGGAGAAGCTGCCTTTCTGTCTTGCATTTCCTACAGGATAATGGTGGGCTGTGTACTTACAAGTTCTTGTCAGATTTCTTTGCCGTTCAGCTCCTTTGAATTACTGCATTGTTTGTCTGTCGTCATTGTTAAGTTCAGAAAGCCCTGTTCCTTACAATCCTTCAATTCCTCACCTTTCCTTATACTTGTGCGTTTGCTGTGTTTTCCTGAGTATACTCCTGTTTTACATCTTGTCCTATTAAAGTCTAAAGCAGAAGTTGCCCCAATATCTCCTATACTGCCTTGTAAGCCACAAATGTGTCCTCTCTAGGTACTGAGTCAGCATCTGCTCGTGCCAGGACAGGTTTCTTCTATCTCTGTTGACCTTGCTAGACAGCTTTAAAAACAGTTTACAGACTTTTTTATCAGGTAAAATGAGATATAATAGGGGTCCTTATGGGAATTTTATTTTGACTGCCATTTGGCCGTTCTGTGTTTGGATGAAAACTCTGCTTTTTGCCAGACAGTTGCCAACATTTGAAGCTAATTATGTTTTTCTTAGTTTCTCTCTTAAGGTTTCACAGTTTAAATAAAGCTATTCTAGTGAGGCACATGGACTAAAATAGAAGTCTTTGTCCAATAAAGGATAAAGAAGAAGCTGTGTGGAATTTGCAAGACTGAGTTTGATCCGCAGAGATGATCGTTTCTGTCTTATCGAGGTTGCTGTGTTTTGTGCCATGCAGGGCACTGAAGCTGCTGAAGTAATTTTTGTAGTAGTACCTAAATAAAAACATATCAAACTCACTGTTCACAAAGTGTGGACGCAGCAGGGGGTAGTAAGAGTTGAATCAACTAACTATAACTTTCTTCTTCTCTAGAGCAGCGGACAGACTTTATTTATATTCATGCTTTCAGGATGATTGTGTTGAGTTGAATCTTAATGGCAATAAGGTTGTCAGTAAAGGAGGCAACATCACTTAAAAGCCCTAGGAACAATAGAGTTGTTCTGTGATGTTGTTTTGCAACAGTAATGATTTGCATTGTCTTTTTCCATTTTATTATATGAGGTGAAAGTGAAAAATACCATGTGCGGTGTACTGTTGCTGTGAAAAATCAACTTCTGCATCCCCTGACATTGCTGTTCACTGTACAGTGTATTGTATTAGAACCAAACTATTTGCCTAAAATGCACTTGCTTCTTCCACCTAAACAGGATATGAGCTGTGGGTGCTTTTTAAATGATTCATAACTGCTTTAATTGCCAAAATTCATTTGTAGGCTTTGAGGGCCTGTGTAGTTGTCCTTTTAAATTGTACAGATGGAACTGCTAACTGTGTAACGTATGAAAAAAGCTTACGCCTCGAAGTTTAAATAAATTCAGCACAATACAAAGTTATGGCAGAGCTGGAAGTAGATCCTAGATTTCCTGGCTCTTCTCTGCAGCTTCTAACATTCTTAACTCCCTTCTTTTTCCCTTTTATAGTGTATCTGTCATTGAATTTTACTTGGGTTTGTTGCATTATATCCATGCAGCCTTACTGTCACAAAGCATTTCTAAAAAGAAAACTTGAATTAACTCATTTCGGCACCCACTTCTTGAATGTCTTTATATCTGTTATGTGCAGATGAAGCCTAATTATTAATTTTGTTGAATTTGCTCTTTTCTTCTTTCAGCCGAGTGGTTTTACCTTGCTCAGTGCAAGAGGTATGTTCTCATCCAACCTGCTTTTGTTTTGGGGTGATGGGTGGGAAGACGTTAGTGTCTTACTTAAATCTGACTACCCTGGATCCAAATGTTTCCTGTGCTGTGCACCCACCAGTCTGCCACAGGTAAGTGTGTAAGCTACCAGTCAAGCAGAGTTAACCTCTTGCAGGTCAGTGGATTTCAAAGGAGGCAGATGCCTGCAGACAAAGAACCTTTAGTTGTTTCTGAGCCACTCCACAGCTTACTAGCAAGAAAAGAAAATTGTGCAATTCTGCACTGCAGCAGAATTTTCCTGCTGATCAAGGCATTGTGTGACTCCAAGTCTTTTCCTAAAGGCAGAGGTGGGAATCGTCTTCCAAGGTCTGAAGCCAGTGATTTAAATGGCACTGAGATACATTTAAATGAAAGCCACGAAAGGATGTCTGAACATACTTCTGAGGGAAAATGTTAACGCTTGCTTTCTTCTACAGTTTGCATTTTATGGGTCCTACGAGGGCAGTGTCTAGTTGGCTAAAAGTATGAATTGGGGAGGCTCAGAGCTGGAAATCAGTAATTTCATTATCCGTAAACTAAAAATTATATTTCTTTTAAATAATTAAGAATAAAATATATACTTTGGTTTTTGGATGAGAAAAATGAAGAGTAATATATTTCATAGGCTGTAGCAAAGTGTTGCATTAATACTTAAGAAGCTTTTTATAGACCTGATGCTTGTGAACTACAGATAAATTTTGCCAGCACATTGTCATACTTTACTAAATATATTTATATGGTGTATTTTATTTTCCTGATAATTTTGCTTGTACTACCAAATTTTCACTGGAAACAGCTAAAGTTTTGGCTAACTTTAATTTTGAAATTTTACTTCTATTAATTTTTTCAGTATCAAGTTGGGCAACTTTATTCTGTGGCAGAAGCTAGCAAAAATGAAACAGGAGGTGGTGAAGGAATTCAAGTCTTAAAAAATGAGCCTTATGAAAAGGACGGCGAGAAGGGGCAATATACTCACAAAATTTATCATTTAAAGAGGTGAGAAAAACGTTGATACGTATTATGGTCACTTGGTGTTGAGTGAGAAATGTTTAAAAGTGAGGGCAGCCTTCTGCTGTTTACTGTTCTGGGCTACTTGTGTTTTTCTACCACACTGTAATTTGCTGAATTGTGCATGAATGCTCTGGTGAGTAGGAAAACATGTGAAATACGGTGGAGTTTAAATCTGTGGGATAGAGTAATGGAGAACCAATGCAAAATGTCCCATCTGTAAACAGGCAATTGCATCTCTAGGAATAATTTGAATTCTTAGTATATAGCCAGAATGATGGGTTGGTGTCACAAATGCTTTCTACTATATCCCAAAGGACAGGAATGTTGATACAGAAGAATAGAGAAGAGGAGAATGGTTGTTGCATTATAAAGGAAGAATGTTTTTATGTGATTCAAGAAGGAGTTCTTGTTGCCTGAATGTTCTTTAAAAACACTCTAAGGCATCACAGAAGTTCTTGTGGTGGGGTAGGGTAATGTTTTTCTGAGAAGGAATGAGTAAGGTGAATATTTTCAGAAGTTACATGTGTTTCAGAGTGGGCCATACCTGGCTTGTTTGGAAAACAGGCCCAAATGGGGTCTGAACCTCTGGGGATTAACAGTCAATGTTAGTTCAGAGGGCTGCAGTACCATAAAGGCACTCATATTGTTAGGATTTGTAATATGCTGTCAAGCTGTGAGGATTAGTATTCCAAGAGTTTATAATTTGGGAAAAAAGATCTAAAAAATTGAAGAACTGAATACATTTACAGTTGGCTACCTGTGAGGGAGGCACAGACACACTGTGGGAAATAAATGCTGTACAGCAGGACTGTTCAAAAGCATCTGAATGTTGAGAGTCTCAGCTATGTGAAGGTAAACATGAAGGCAAACTTTCTCCAGGCCTGTGTTATGTAGGATTGTTGCACACAAGGTGTGGGTCCTAATTCCTTTTGGTTGGTTTTGGGTATTGGACTTTCAGATGTGCACAAACTAGAGAGAAACTAGAGGGTAGAAAGAAGTGTGGGCAGCATGACTCGTGTGGAAAAGCTGAAAGGATTATATTTGCTTATTCTGGAAAGAGAGAAGTCCCAGATGAATGGGACATAAGGTTTCTGCAATGTAAAAAAGGAATCGCCAGTTGGCTTTTATTCCTTGAATTTAAAAGAAAAAAGCACAGGAACTTATTCGCCATCCTTGGAGAAAAACTGAGAATGGAACGCATATGCAGATTGAACTTTCTATCATTTACATGCATGCATACATGTAATTTGTTTAAGCTCACCTACTTAAGGGCACCAGCCTCATGTATTCTCTTAGGTAATACGAAATTTATCTTGTATCAGATTTTGTTACTGTTTTCCCAAGCATCCAATTTTTGGCAACTGTCATGGGCACTGTTGGACTAGAGAGGGCAGTTGCTACTGGAGATGGTAATTCTGCTGCTTATGGTGAGCTGCAGTTGTCCTCTTCAGGCGCAGCTGAAATAGCTGAATGGCCTTTTGTCGGGGCTGCAGCCCACCAAGTCACGGGCTTGCTCACTGATGAACCTGCCGTTTTGCTAGAGAGCTTGGAGGTGAAATCTCTTGGGCAGCGTTCTCCCTCAACAGGTGTCTGCTGTTCTTAAAGAGAAAAGAAAACGTAGCTTTTGTCATGATCATAGTGCTTCCAAAATTATTTTCGATCTAGCTTGCTCTCAATTATATTATTATTACATACCTTTTTTTTTTCTTAATTATTTTGTGATCAGTAACACCATTGGGGCTCCTGTGTATTTAACTCTGGATAGCTTGTACATCATAACCTTTCAAGTGCTTAGGTAGAATGTGCCTTTCTTATTAGAGTAGAATAAATCAGTGAGGAATTTCAGCTGGCAAAAATTCTTAAAATGTTGTCAATGTTTGTTTTTCACAGTAAAGTTCCTGGTTTTGTAAGGATGTTTGCTCCAGAAGGCTCCCTGGTTTTCCATGAGAAGGCTTGGAACGCGTATCCCTACTGTAGAACAAGTAGGTCTCCCATTTGTTTTGCTGTCAGTGCTCAGTTGAGGAATAATCTTCAGTGGTTTAGGAGAAGAGAGGGTGCCATCAAGTGGGAAATAGGTTTCAAATTGTAACGTTGCCTTTGTGAGGCCGCCTCTTCTGAAAAGAAGAGCTGCTTCTGAAGAGCAACCTTCATGGATGAGTTCTCTGTTTCCTATGGAGTCTTAGTATCCAGTGTCCCTGGGATGAGACGGAAGAGGTGATTCTCTTAAGGTCTAGAACAGAACCTGTTTGAAAATAATTTAATTCTTCATAGTCTGTTAGGATGACTGCTTTATTTTAATACTTTTAGTTGCATAAGTTCTAAGAGTATTCTCTTTTTCTTTTGTTTCTGTTGAATAGTTTGAAACATAATGAACTTCTCAGGTTAAGGCTAGCAAGTTAGTCTGCTGAACTCTGCTGACTTGATGCGCACAAACGCTGTTAGATTAATCTTGAATGTTTCTTACACTGTGAAGCAAACATTATATGTGAGACTTTTCAGACACAATTGTACCTAATAACACTTTGTGTTTCCTTTTCATTTTCATTGCCTGTGTTTCCAATGACCAGTTGTGACAGTAAGTATTTGAATTACTATCAGTCCTATGTTGGTTTTTTCAAAATATATGTTATCTGTTACTACTGCTACAGTTGACTGGCTCTAGCAAGCTAGCTCCAACCTTTTATATATGCCTTGTCAGGGTTCCTGGCATAGAGCTCCTTGTTACTTTATTTGTCTGCACATGTCTATAATTAGAAAGAACTGTAATTTGTCAGAGAAATGCTTTCATTTTTTACATCTTCTTTTATGCCTTTACTATTACAGCTGCATAATGTCTGTCCTGGTAAGACATAATGCTAAAAAAGGTGGGGGGTATGGGGGAGGGAGAGAGGGGAAAAGCTAAATCAGAGGTTTCTACACTCTTGGATGCAGGAGCAGTAACGAAATAAGATCAGTCCCTAACTGTCTGAAATCCCATTTCCGCAAAGTAAAATCCTGCCTCAGTTAAAACGGGTTAATCGAGAATCCAAATGAATACTCATAGCTGGCAGTTTGGGTTTTTTGTTTTTTTTTTTTTTGTTTAAGATGAAAGGTCAAGACATCAAGACTTTACTTCCCTGATTGTATATATTCATGACCTGTTTAAGGAAGCTTGTAAGCTTGACGTTAAATTGCTTTATCTGCTCACTTGAAAGCTCAATTTAGATTCTCACTAGGTGAATGGAACATAAGGAGTATCAAATGAGTTTGTGAACTGTTTAGCTTAACTCATCATGTTACATGTGCACACTGATGTATGCTTTCTTCTGAAATGAGAAGTGTTCTGTGCTATTCTTTGGACATACAATTTAGTGGCAGCTCGACCTTTATGATCATAACTGTGCTATACAGTAACAACTAGTGTTTATTAGCTATTACACCTGCCTCTCAGTCTAATTTTTAAAAATTTTCCATGTATTTTAGTTGTTTTGTCTTAACTGCAGTATTAATAATTTGAAAAGTACTTGAACATAGAGGTAAAGAATTTCAGGGTTGAAGAATGATATTGACCTGGACTTGAGCAAAGCATTTGACACTGTCCCACACAACATCCTTGTCTCTAAATTGGAGAGACATGGACCTGAGGGATGGACCATTCGGTAGATGAGGCACTGGCTGGATGATCACACTTTGCTGTCAACAGCTCGATGTCCGAGCGGAGAGCAGTGATGAGTGGTGTTCCCCAGGGGTCAGTGTTGGGACCGGGGCTGTTTAACATCTTTGTTGGGGGACATGAACAGTGGGATCGAGGGCAACCTCAGCAAGTTCACTGATGACACCGAGCTGTGTGGTGGGTGACACACAGGAGGGCAGGGATGGCATCCAGAGGGACCTGAGCAGGCTGGAGAGGAGGGCCTGGGCAAACCTCCTGGAGTTCAACAAGGCCAAGTGCAAGGTCCTGCCCGTGGGTCGGGGCAATCCCCAGCACAAAGCCAGGCTGTGCGAGGAGTGGCTGGAGAGCAGCCCCAAGGAGAGGGACTGGGGGGGGTTGGTGGAGGGAAAACTGCCCGTGAGCCAGCACCGTGTGCTTTAAGGTCCGTTCTGACCCCCCAAAAAAGAGAAAGTTAAAAAAAAAACGAAAAAGGTAAATGACAGTATTATTTGTATTTGTGTGCAGAGAGTTAGAGTTTGATTTTTCAAACATGACTCATTTTAATGTCGTACTTACTGCTGTAGCTGATACTTAAGTTTAAGATACTAGTTATCTCCTTGTGCCTATTTCTGTGTGTAGGTAATGGATCTCTATTCTTGTATAATTTAAAAAGAATTTGTTGCTAGTTAAGGCTTAGTAGGACTTATATGTAAATACCATTTATCTAAAGTTTAAGCAGAGAGGTGTTACCAGACTCACGCTTTTTGATTTTAATTCTTACAGAATGAATACATGAAAGATGACTTCTTCATAAAAATTGAGACCTGGCATAAACCAGATTTGGGGACATCAGAGAATGTGAGTTGGGATTTGGGTACCAAGTATTAGTAATGTTTTCAACACAGTCATCCAGATAAAGTATTCTATACCTGGTAATGGTGGGTAATTACTGCATAAAATCAAAGCCCTACCAGTGATTGATGTAAAACAAGAAAAGCATTATTCAAATCCTTCTAAGGTGGTCAAACTGTCTCATCTAAAGAGATGCGAGAATAAGAAAAGGTTTTTATTTACATTGAGGTCAGTGCAGATGCTTGATTCTCACTCAAATATTTAAATAGGTTTTCAGTAAGTTCTTTTTAATTTCATGTTCTTTTACCTTAGACATGCTAGTTCTGCTTAGGCTGACAAGTTTGTTTGAAAACAGGTTTCACAAGGCTTTTGGAGTTTATCTGTGTACACTGCTGTAGAGTTATGTATTGAAGCTGCTTCTGTACATTTTTGAGGCTGGCAGTACTCGTTTTCCTCCCTAGACAGCAGATTTGGTTCACAGGTCTCTTCAGGAGATGTTTTTTATCTTTAGTGACCAATATACTTATGAAGTATCCACAAAGGAAAACTTGTCAGTATATTTTCAGTGTTTGGATAAACTGGAGCCCTGGATGTGCTACAGAGGAGAGTATTTCTTGGACGGCTCTGCTTGCTGTAATTGCAAGTTTAGGTATGCCTAACAAACTACAGGTGTGAAGCTGATTAAATCTTCAGACCTTTATATACCTTCGTACCTCACACACTTCATCCGGTCCATATTCATGGCAGCCCTATGATTTAGGGAACCTACTAGGTTTAGTCAGGTTATTGAAACCTGCCATATTTGCACTTCGGAGTTTGTGCAGCTTCTTTCTAGATTGAAATGCTCATGCAGTTTGCAGAATGGGTGATGTTTCTGATTAGAGCTTGATCTCCTTAGTGCTAATTAAAGTGCTAATTAATATGACAGAAGAATACAGCTTAATTTTAAATTGAGATTTCCTGAATGCACAAGAAGTGCTTCGTGCTGGTTTAAGATTGGTTAGTGAGTGAATTTAACTGTGGAGATAATTCCCTTTTAGAAAGACAGAGGAGGAAAGATTAGGTTTTGAGAACACTGCATTTATTAAGTCCAGAAAAAAATCTATGGCATGCATACGGACTGTGTAAGGTGCACCGCTGTGTAAGGTGACAACCTGGAAATCATTAATTTTTCTCATTTTGCAGGTGCACAATTTAGATCCAAACACATGGAAGAGTGTTGAAGTTGTCCATATTGACATTGCAGATAGAACTCAAGTAGAACCAGGAGTAAGTAAATGTTCTGCCATTGGAATATGGATGTAGCATGCAGCTGATTCTATTGATGCTTTGCGTTGATTGTGAATAAACTAAAACGGTATGGATTTTACCCAGCAGATAAATGAAAATTGTCTTGAATAGACTTATTCGTTCCAAAGTTCCACACCTAGTAAATGCATTTACAACTTCAGTCTACTGAACTTGACTTCCAGTTATACAACTAAGACATGAAGGGTGACAGACTTTTGGCACAAGTGTAGGTTTTACTTTTAATTGTAGATAAAGTAATTGATTTGGTCAAGCAAGCATTTATGTGCCCATCTTGGTGCATGAGACCAAGTGCAAGAATCTATTGCAGCTGTCCTGCATGACAGAGCACACTGTCTCCACCAAGCTACTCCTGTGCTTCTGCTGCTACTTCTTGGTTACAGGTTCTTTAAAAATTCTGTCCCTCTACACATCCTTTACTCTAGGGTTATGGCAATCTCAGGAGGATCAATTGGATTTTGCCATTGAAATCTAGACCTATTTTGTTTATTTTTAAACTTTGTTCATCAGAGTAGTCTCAAGATTTGAACTGTTTATTTATTCTGAAAGCTCTAGGATTACTTTTTCAATTTCATCTTTAGTGATTGGTTTGGCAAACATAAGTATCCTGGGTAAAGCCAGAAGCCTATCCATAGGAGTCTGCGTTCTTTTCCGTGACAACTTAAAGCTTAATATCTTGATATAAGAAGCAAAAATTCAGAAGGACAGATTTTTATTAGTAAAAGCACATGGTTACTCAGTAAATTTGTATACAGAGCATAGGTATAAATTTGGAAGGAGTGTCTTTTCTAGGATTGTGTGGAGTCTGCGTTAGCTTGCTTACACGTCATGGAAATTGGTGGCTAGATGAAGTGAGTGTGTCAAGGTTTAGTGCTGGGCATGCACATGTTCAGCTTGCCTTTTCAACAGCAATTTGCACAGAAAAGGCAGTGGTACCCTGAATGTGATTGTATCAAATTCTACTGAAATAAATACATGAAGAGATTTCTAGTTAAGTTTATCTGCCATGTTGAGATTTTGCTGACAGGACAAAACTTAATGTTTGTAATAGTTCCCATTCTTTTCCCCTCTGTTGTCATTGTTTTGTTAACCAGCTTACAGTCATGTGTTTGGGTTGGGAGACACCTTAAAGATCATCCAGTCCCAACGCTCTGCCCCGGGCAGGGCCCCCTTCCCCCAGCCCAGGGTGCTCCCAGCCCCATCCAACCTGGCCTTGAACCCTTCCAGGGAGGGGGCAGCCACAGCTGCTCTGGGCACCCTGGGCCAGCACCTCACCGCCTGCACAGGGAAGGATTTCTGCCTTAGATCTCATCTAAATCTGCCCTTTTTCAGTGCAAAACCATCACCCCATGTCCCATCCCCACCCCCTGACCCAGAGTCCCTCCCCACCTTTCCTGTCCCCCCTTTAAGCCCTGGGAGGCCGCTCGAAGGGCTCCCCGGAGCCTTCTCTTCTCCAGGCTGAACCCCCCCAACTCTCTCAGCCCGGCCTCCCAGGGGAGCTGCTCCAGCCCCCCCAGCATCTTCGTGGCCTCCTCTGGCCCCGCTCGAGCAGCTCCGTGTCCTTCTGCTGTTGGGGGCCCCCGAGCTGGCCCCAGCACTGCAGGGGGGTCTCCCCAGAGCGGAGCAGAGGGGGAGAATCCCCTCCCTGGCCCTGCTGCCCCCCTGCTCTGGCTGCAGCCCAGGGCACGGGTGGGTTCTGGGCTGCAAGCACACATTGCCAGCTCTTGTCAGATTTTTCATAGGGTGTATGATTAATCTGTGTAAGAAGGTATCCTGTGTTGTTTTTAGATGCTGGTTTATTCAACTTTTGAGAGCAGCTTCACCATAGTTATTTACGTGCCTGCCTTCCTTGTTTTTACTGCTGTTGTGTTCTACACATCTGTATCTACTGGGGTTGTTGTCTGGTTTGTTTAATTGTAACAGCTGGACTGCTCTATGTGTAATCATTAATTTTTGGGTAATAGGAAAACGTTATGCACTAATATGAACACCAAGTTGTGTTTGCATAATAAATTTGATTGTCTCAGTTTTGTGCAGGAAGTTGTTCTTTATACTATCAAATTGTTATTTTCTGAATATAAACACTTGGGCATCCTGCATTGTGGGGAGAGGACTCCTTTGCAGGAAAGTCTAAGAAGGAGGGGAAAGTCTGTGGTGTGTGAAGGGGAAAGGTTTATTTCATAAATTTCCATTTGCATTACCAGCATAGCTGTATAACCTGCACTGTTGCTTAACTGATGTTTAACAGATGATCTCTGGATTTACATGTATGAAAATACATTCTTTGGAGAACCGCCCTGTAAATCAAATTAAATGTGTCTTGCCTATTTTAATGCAGCGAGGAATCGTTTTGCTGCCTCTTGTTCTTTCAGACATTCCATATGACCTTAGAGCTGAACTGGCAGGTAAATGTATGTTGTGCATTCCCTATTCCATGCCTGGAATTGTGGCAGACAACTACAGTGCTGTCATCTGTCAGAGTGCTTGCTTGATCACAGTATGTGTAAACAAAGGATTGTGTTTATTACTGTGTGTTGAACTTAAGTATTTATTCTGTTTGAAGGACTCTTAGTGAACAGGACTGCTCACGCTGTCTGCCCTCTTGCACTATTAGATTACGTGGCCTGCATTTGGTATTGCTCGTTTCCTTTGTACTGAAGACTGACAGATGGTGGTATGCTAAAAGAAGTTACATTTTTGGCTCAGGACAAAGATCCATCTAACCCAGTGTCTTGTTAGTGGCCAGTAGCAGATACTTGTGGAAGGATAAGAAACTTGGGGAGTGCATACTAGCAGCTGGGAGATGCATATCTCTGAAAGATCAATCTGTATTTAAAGGGCTTCCAGAGCTAGTGGTTATATCTGGCCTCTTGCGTTTATTAGCCACTTACATGCCCATGAGCACATCTAATCTATTTTTTAACCCATTTATACCTCTACTTTGACCTTTATGGCATCATGAATTCTGTAGAGTGTTAGATAGCATGGAGAAAAAACACTTCCTTTTTGCCTGACTGATAATTTAATTAATGGGGGGGGGGAAAGAATGTTTCTTCCTTATGTTTTCTGCACACTTTATCTTACAGATTCTGATTATATTTTCTTTATCTTCCCCCACCTCCTCTTTATCAAGCTGAGGGTCCTTATCTTTAAGCCCATCTTCATGTGGAAGTCCTTGGAACTACTCTCAATACCATTATCCTCTTTTTTTTTTTCTTTTTTCTTTTTTTTTTTTCTTTTGTACATTTGACCTACAGAGTGTCAAAACTATGAGTGCAGAGTGATTTAATCCAATCTTAAGTCTCTTCTGATGTTTCTACATTCTCCTTTTTTAGTAGCTTCTAACACCATTTATACTTTTAGCAAATATTTTGAGCAAATACTTTCACATACAAACTTTCAGTATAGCCCATCATTGTGTAGGAATACTTGGAACTAATTTTTACCGTGTGATTCAAATTTTCATTTCCATTTCATCTCCCAGGAATTCAGTTTTGCAAAGTCCTGACTTCGTTAAACAATGACTGACTTTGTATTCAAACTCTTATGCAAACTTTGATAACTCTGAGTTATCTGTAGACTAGACACCCTTTCCACTCGTTTGCCCCATTTCTGTTACAGTTAAGGATTTGTTAGAAGAAGTACTCTGGGACCCAGACTCAGAGTCTCTTCTGTTACGAAAATTTGCAGTTTCTGGCCCTTTTCTTTCCTGCTCATAGCTCCATGAGAGAGACTTTTCCATTTATGCTAATATGTTTATGAAGTTTAGGTAATGGAACTCGAGGAATTTTTTTTGGAAGTTCAGCTACATCATAGTAACAAAATTGCCCTGATCTACATGCTTCTTTTATGCCTTCAGAGAAAGCTGCTGGTTTTAGAAATCATATGTCCCCTGTGAAAGCATTAGCTGTTTTCCATGTATTCTATTTGTCCAGAGATTCTTTGCCTATGGTTTCTTTGCCTCTGTTCAGTGATGTTAGGGCACTCACTAGTTCACTCTGTTGGGTAGTTTCTGAAATCATGTGCGTTGCATGGCATTTTTTTCTGTTATGATGCTTGTTGTTTGGGAATTACCATTCTAAGTGTTTGGGTTTTTTGGCGTGCTCATTTTTTTTAGGGAAAAGGCATAGCATTGCCAAAGGAAAGTTTTATTTGTACACTTATTGTCTCAGTCATAGTTTTGCCTGGAAAATGTACTAGCTTGGATAAGAGTGTGACTAAAAGAATGGAACTACATTTATAAGATCTAGCAATTTTTATAAAAGTTTTAATATATTCAGGATTTATCCGTTTGTTCAGCCCAACCCATTGTAGTGTAGCAGTTTAGTTTCAGAACTACAGTCAGCATAAATATAAAAATAGTAAATTTCTTTAAGATACTAATGGCATGCATATGCTAACTCATGCTCATTTAAGTATGTATAGAAATAATTTGGCTGACATCTGTAGCTTTCTCTAGATATAAATTTAACCCTGTCCTCTTAATCATCTCCAGCACACAATCTATGTAACTTTGTGATTTGTATATAAAAATCACTTCCCAGGAGAGTAAGATTTTTTTAAAGACTAAGTGGAAGTGAACACTCAATTAACTTCAGAAGAGGCTACATTTTTTGGAAACAATATGTAAGAAAGTAGAATGTAGTGAAACCAAAAAAATTGAAATCAGGTTTACAGCTATTTTTGTATAATACTCCCAGAGCTATGGATCGTATCAGAGAAAAGTACTAGTCTGCATTTCCTTCCACAGTCAACCTTATGTGCGTTTTCTGCTAAATAACACTTGTAATATGTATGTTTTCTTGTCTAAAAAACCTGATGCAATATTGAATTGAAAAGCAGAAATTGTGTCCGCCTGCCTAGTTAGTCTTACACTACTCTGTGTTCAGGAAGCTTTTTTCACAAATTTGCAGAGAAGACATGAGATTTCATCATTTTTATGTTAGGTTCTAAAAATTTTC